TCCATTTAATGTTTTCAAATACAGAAAAGGAATCAGAAAGAAGGTGAACATTGCATGAAAATGTTTAATCATGGTACTGTTATTAAGTATTAATCCTTTATTGGATAATTATTTTTCACATCTGGGAAAACACCACTGGCAGCACAATTTTCAGAAAAGAGGTTTGGCAACATGTATTTTTCTCAGCAGCACTGGATGACAGATTTTGGTGAAGGCGAGCCAAAAAATTAAGGGCAAAACCACTGGTGCACAGAAGACAACACACTGATCTTATTACAGAAACAGATATAAGACCACGATAGAAAAGACATTTAAATTGTACCCTAAGCCAGGAACTCCAGATTATTGGCATATACATCAAGCCTGGCTTAGAGAGTTTAATCACAAGAGTAATAAATATTGGATTCCTGCCTGCCCTGCCCATCTTACTTAAAAATATCAAGGTATTTGCTTTCAAATGACACAAACTGCCTACACTATAATCTACTAAACAGTCACTCATTTTTAACAGCATGCTCGTTCTGTCCAGCAACCACCAAAAGGGCAACTTCATGTAACTCAGCTATTGTGAAGACAGACACTGACATTGCTTATCCACAAAGAGTGTGAACATCTTACAATTTTGGAGGAGCATATGGAGATTTTTTTATCTAAAAACAATGTTTGCATACTCAAGGAAATTGCCATTCCTCCTCAGATTTTAGAATTCTGAATTCCTACGTTTTTTTTAAATTACTCCATTTCTATTCAATTTTAAGTTAATAAAAGCAATAGCCAGAAACTGCTGCAAGACCTCTGTCAATTGTCAAAAAATGCCAACTCCAAAAAAGGACCCCACAGTGAAGCCTAAAGGATGTGACCACAAGGTCTCACAAAACATCGTTGGACCCTCCTTATTTTATTTGATGTTGCAACATTTGCCTCCAGTGTATGCCTAAGGCCCAAACAGAAACATAAAAGGACTCAATTTCCTTTGACCAGCCTGGAAATATCTTGCTTCCAAATTACATTAATTTAACATTTCTCTTTTGCTATTTTTTCTTCAGTTTCAAGTGTATGCTTGTGGGTTTGATTCCTAAAGACATTATCCAAAGGGCAAGAATATGAAATATACAACCCTTTATGTGACAACTAGCACAACACAATGGGCAGTGACAAGAACAGTAGGAAATCTACTGGAGACAAGAAGAGAAATTCTGCATTCATCAGACAGGGTGCCGGGTCCAACACTGTACACCAGAACACAACAACTTGATCTACCTCTTAAGATAAGAATAGTAAAAAAAGCCAAGTCGTTCTTAAAAAGAAAGAGATAATAAGGAAGATAAAAAGTAGCTACGGTACTAGAGTGTTTATATAAAATTACAGAAAACATACTTAGTGATGTCTCAGAAAATAAATAGCCAAGGTTGTTTCCACTCAGGAAACATAAAGTAGAGATTTAGAAAATTATTCTGATAAATTAGATGTGGCAATTTGGTATTGGCAGTTGAACAGGGGAAGGGAGAAGAGTGGGAAGGAAATTACTGGTTAGTAATTGGCACTGTAAGGTTAATTCACCATATTATTTGCTAAATGTTTCAGGTTGAGAATTAAGACAGTTTGAGAAATTGTTACAACCCTATTTACTCTGTCATAGAGATCAAGTCCAGACAGCAGAACATCAGTAGTCAAAGGTTCCATTGTCTGACCCAGCTTTGTCCAGGGTATTAATAGCAGACTCAATTGTTACATAAACCATGGTATAACACTAGCCAGGTATATATCACAGAAAAAAAATCTGGACTGCAGTTGGTTTGAAGAAACCAAGCTCTAGAAGCTCTGAGTATACCATGTTCATCTAAAAAATTTATACTCTGGCCACAGGATAATCACGCTGCACTCCACGAAACATTTGATGGATTGCATGGAAGCTGTTAGGAGGCAAGGGTTGGTATGATTTCCAACGTAAATATGACCAGGAAAAGAAGCCCCACACAGGCGTTTCCGTATTTTAGTGATGGTGTGATGAAGGTGATGTAATACTCTTGATACTTCATTGAAAAGGCAGTAAATAGTACAAAACACTGCTGGAGCCTGAAAGTGTAATTGTGTCCTTCAAGAACGCAAGAAATATTTGATGATGGTCACGACCATGTTGATGATCAGTTTTGAAGACCACAATAAAATGCCTTCATTTCTTAGCAGAGATCATCTGGTTTTCATTTCTTTTGGAGCTGAAAAGACCCTCTTTGTGGAAGAGCCGGACAGGTATGTTGTTTCCTACTTTTTTTCTTCTTCTTACTTTCTCAGCACGTCAAGTGATTTCATTTCTGAAGCAGGAAAGGAATGTTAAGAAAGATGCTGCCAGAAACGACAATGTCAAACTCTGACAGAGTGATTGTTTCAAGCTCAGAATGAATCACTTTTAAGACAGAAACCTTTGGCTTGTTTGTTTCGTGACTATTAGACATTTAATAGTTTCAGAGAGTTTCAATAGTTTCAAAGTAAAGACAAAGTAATGAGACAAACTGAGAGTAAACTTTCAAAAGATAAACAGGAGGAGATATTGAAATAAACTATCCTACACATAAATGCTGGGATAAAAAAATAAGTGTAAAGTACTGAGTGGAGAGAAATATCTTGCAGGAGACTTTCCACACGGTCGTTCCATGTTACTCCCATGGGGAGCCTGTAATGAACCCCAGCATATCTACACAGCTTTATGAATGACCTCAAGAAACAGAACAGCAGTGAGCTCTTCACCTAGTCTAGCTCCACAGTTTCTGAAATCTCGTGTGAGGTGTCCTGTCCTCAAACCCGCCATGTTGTCATGGAGAGGAGAAGGCAAGACATCAGTTCCTAGGATAGGTAATGGAAATGCAATTGGCAATGGTTTTTCATAAGGATCTCTGTTTGTTCCAAAAGATGACTTCTATCTCCACTATTGGTGGTGTAAATTTGTTAAAATATTTAAAAATATTTTATCTCAAAATATTCTTCTCACTTACAAAGCATGATTAAATACCCTCTATTACCATTTGAAGTCACTTACTTATCTAATAAAACTGTTTTTCAACTTAATATACAAACCTAGGTTGTACTATATAATTGAGAAAATTAACTTTCTTTTGTACTTATAATCAAGTCTTGTTAAATTGAACTCCTAGCATTGTTTACTAGTAGATTTCTCAAAAATACATTATTCCCCATGTGTGAGTTACTATGAGATTGTGAGAAAGTCTATGTGATTATCTTTCAAAGTATGCATCAGAAAGATATACCATTCATAAAGCTTAGGGCAAATTCTTCTAATAACCTCATACTGGGAACCGTGAGCAATAAAAGTTAAATGGGTAAGTCAAGAAAACTATAACTGAAAGTATAGTTTCAAAAAGCACTGACTATTTTTAAGACATGTTGCTATTCTCCAACAGCATCTGTTCTGTCCCTAAAGGCTACACCCCACCTTGTTAGGGTGTAATCAGAAAGCACTGCCTTCTGTTCCTACGACTGCATTCTGCTGTGATTAATCCTCTTCACAGTTTTTCTGCCTCTCTGTGTATGTTAGAGACTCTCAGTGCAACCAGTTGGGTACAGTGTCACATGGCAAGGTGCGGAATTAACTTGTTAATATGTTGTGTTTTAGATCTAAATAACCATGGAGATGTCCTAGGGATTTGGCTCTATCAGACCCACGGCTGTGCATAAGGATGCAGCAAAATTATTGTAGGAAATATCAGTAAGTTAGTATGTTTGCATGCTACTGTTTCATTTTTTTTACACAGCATCTAAAAATATCTGGGAGGATTGAAAGCAGTAAAAGAGATTTATAATTATCAATTTTTTTTAAATAGTCACAATTATGTTTCTGATTAAAAATGATATAACTTTCTGTTGTAAAGAGGGGAGCCTTTTAAAAATCCCTTTGGCTCCATTATTTGGTTTTCTTTAAGTAAATTTCAAGGAATTACATAAAAATAACAAGAGCTAACAAATATGATTGGCATGAATTTCTCTGAAAATATGACATTTTTTTTACAAAAAATTCATTACTAGTGTGAATCAAGAATGACCTTACTCTTTTATTCAATGAAAGTAATTTTTACCTAATACTGAGTTACATTCCATTTCAGATTTCCTATTTCAAAGGGCGTCTCAAATTTCTAAGATGTTAAACCACGTATTGAGCCATTTTTGTATATGTAATAAAAGTCTTTAAAATTAAAATGGTAATCCTAAAAAAACCATATGAATGAAAAATATGGTCTGACTGTATAACAAAAGGGAGTTATATAATTCTCCTTGAGTGAAATCTTTCATCTTTGATTTACAGGTTAGAGTCCTCTTTAACTGAAACCATATTGCTCCATATCCTTCTTATCATGGCCTTCCTTAAAGCCTTGTTTTAATTAAGGTTTCTTTCAGATTTCTGAATAAAAGCATGACAATCTTCACTTATGGCTTTAATATATCCTTTGAGTTAGGAAAATATATAAAAAGAAACATCAACTCTTTCAAAAGCATTGTCAGATATTAAATACTGCGAGGTATTCTTATAGCAATGCATTTATGTGTTCGAGTTATACACTGAAGTAGAATTCTGGATGGTAGGGAGGTAACCTACTTATATTTAGTAAGTTACTTTTAATCTCACAAATAAATGTCCGTCATGTTTAGTCTTTGACACTAAGGCCACATGTGCAAAGGTTAAGTCTGTGGTTGATTTTTTTTTTTCACATAAAGGTACAACTTCAAGGTTAACTCAATTCAAGGTAAGTTCAAAAAGGCAATGCCTTCATTAACACATTTCAAAGATCTAGAAAACTCAGTAACATTGCTTAAGCCATATTCACCTCAGTGATTTCACAGCTATAAGAACACATTAGACCAAGCACTGTGTTAACCTGGAAAAGGTAAAAAAAAAAAAAAAAAAAGTCAATACTCAAAGCTCCTGAGAAATTGCGGAGATTATGGGTAATCTTCAGCTTTTCTATAGGAAGGATGGATGAAAGGTAAGAAAAAAGAAGTGATGCAGGGCAGGAAAAGAGAATTGAGAGAATAAATTCTTGAGAGATTTGGAACAGATTAAGACCACCTTTGAAACGTTTTCAAAGACGCTAGAAATCCTGCACGGAACATATGCCAGAGCTACTGCCATCAGAGCAAGGGGTGGGAGGGGGGAGAGCTCACCCCCAAATACGGCTGCAAGTCTCCCTTGTGTGTAAGAACACGGAGGGAGATGTTAGGGAAATAAGGTCTATTTAAAAAAAGGTGACATGAAATATTGCACCATTGCATACAGTGTCTGAGGTTCCTTTGGCATTCGGACTTTGAGATGTAGCATGGTTTATTCCACTGAACACGCCTCAGCCCACTTCCTCCATCTTGAACTCGTAACTAGCAAGAGTTGAGCCATGTGTTAAAACCAAGGCCAAAAGAGAAACAAAACAAAACAAAACAAAACAAAATCCCTGCGATCTGTCGGGAATTGCTATCCGTTCATAGCTGAAAGCAAATCCTGTAAACAATGTGAGACTGTTTGACAAAAAGTCATCCAATAAAAAAACTGATTAGAATGTCAGGAACAAGTATTTCCTAGGTTTTGCCCCAAATTTCAATGGCTGTGATAGCGTTTGTAATTAACAAGATCTAATGCCGTATTGGCTGTTTCTAGTTCATACTTTGGGCCTGGGAGTGAGTGGGTCACCCAGCATATTAAATGCATGCTGGAAGCAGTTTCTTCCAATCGTGGTTTACTGTAACTTTAGAATCACAGTGGTTACATTTAAGGAATCTATAATGCCCTTTCAAGTCCATCCAAAGAACAAGTGAAGCTGCTGTTCAGAATTTTGTGCCCGGTGTTTATATTCCATCGAATCTGTGCCACCCAGGCAGCAGACAAGACATGTCTGAGGGTGCTGGGGTGGGGGGGATACACAATGATGTCACACACAGGAAATATCGGGGGGTGGGGAGAGTGGGGGACTTGGCACTTCACAAGGCTGGCTCCTCTTCCATAGGCTCACCCGCGATTCTGTAAAAATAAACAGGCAATCAGAATACGGCATAAGAGTACACAATGACATTGTAGATTTTCATGCATAATCAAAGCTGATTTTTCAGCTCTTTCTAATGTTTATTTGTGTTATTCAGTTATCCATAAATAGAGTTTCTTTCCTAGGAAGTATAAACAAATGTCAAGTGGAAAAACATTTTAGATCCAAGCAATCATTGGAAATGTTCCTGTTTATATTAAAACATGTCAGAATATTTTATAACTCTGGATTCCAAAATGTACATGTTTTGTGTCTAGTACAGTCCAATAATTTATTGAAAAAATTAACTATGATATTTTCTTTTAGGAGCAATTGCAGGGATTTCCTATGGAACCAGTTTGCTCACCAGAGTGAAGGACCCAGCTAGCTTCTGGAGGGAACCCACCAGGGCTCTGGTTTTTGCTTCTGTTCTTTCATAACTGGATTGGCTGCCTGCCGGAGGCATTTCAAATCAAATTCTGAATTTGATTAGCAAATCGCTGCTACAGACCCAACACTTTTGAAAGGCACTATGGTAGTGTGTAAATAGTTTTTATTCGGCATCATCTGTGGGGTGTTCTGCTCGGGTAAAACCAAAACTAATTGCTTGAAAATTTATACTTGAGATTTAGCCTTAATTTAGTAACACTCTGAGGGTGTTTTAAGGCAAACTTTTCGAATGATTTTTTAATTTAGCCGAAAGGACAAATTGTAGTAGGAATCCACGTACAGGAGGGTGGCCGGCTTGTCGAGGGAACGGTACTGGAATTTCAGATGCAGGGAGAATTGCGTTTGGGTCTGAGTTCCGCAGTTTGCTAATTCAGCGACAGTTGAAGTTATGACTGCATTTCTGTGAAGCTGTGGTTTCAGGTTTAAGGCCACGAGAAAAAAAGATGTTTCTTACAGAATTAGTGCAGGTGAGAAAAACGAAGGAGGCAAAACTGACTTGTAAACAACAAACGCTGTGATATGTTAGTTATTTAACACTTTGGAGCTGTCCCTTCATCATCTAACACACCCATAAAATCATGTTGAACTGCATCAGATAGAGAGACAGGACCACGCCACCACAGGGAAACACCACATGCATGTGGATGGGGGTTTTCTCTGGCTTATAATGATTTTCGAAAATAAAGAGCAGAGAGAATTTAACTTGGGATAAGATACAGCACACAATTAAATTCTTATATTTTCCCTTAAATGGGCATTTCATATCCTATGATTTTTAAAACAGTATTTGTTAGTTAATATCAATAATATTATTGAGTAAGACACTTCCCTTATTGATTTAACTTAACCCCTATCACTTACTTCCTCTTCCTTTTCCAAGGCAAGCAATCTAACGCTGCTTTGTACATGATTTTGTCCATAGGGCATTCCCCAAAGCTAAGTATTACTGCTTTATGAGCACATATTTTTTATTTTATGTAAACTTGATTTGTACATACACAGGCATAATTCACCTTGCAGAATTTTCTCACTCAGCACTGCATTTCTGTTTTCCAGTCTGTAGCTGCCCCGTGTGACATGACACCTCCACTGTGTACGTTCTCCACCTTTTAACTAGTCACGCTCCCCACGTGGGGCTGGGTTTGACTCCTCCTGCCCACCCATCATTAATAAGGCAGCATCGAACTTCTTAGTCCACGTACTCCAGTGACCTCGGGTGAGAATGACTTCAGGATCCACTGCCAGGAGCAGGATTACGACGTCATACGTCTTGCATGTTCGAACTGGTAGCTTATCGCCTTTCAGTGCGGCTGTCATGGTTTACCTTCCCACAGCTGTGAGGGCTTGTTTCAAAGCCCCACATCTCCATGAAGGCTGGCATGCCTCGGTTTACTGAATTTTTCACTGACTCAAGAAATAATTACTGAGTGTATATATGCACCCTGGCTCTGCTCTAGGCATCAGAACTACAGAGGAAACATAAAAAGCATAACAGGGGGATCTGACCTAATTTTTGGATTGATGGTCAGTGAACCTTTTCCAAGAAGAGACAGAACTATTTGAGCTGGGCCCTAAAGTATAAGTGGAAAAGAATGGAGAAGCTCATACAGGGTTAGTGGGAGGATCAGGAAGACAAGAGTGGTAATCCAAACAGAGGAAAGGGTATGTGCCAAAAAGGTCTGATGCGAACAAGAATATGGCTCTTTAGAGAAAATCTGAAACCACAATGAGATACCATTGAATACTCACTAGAAAGGCTTAATTATAAAGACTGATTACACAACGTGTAGGTGAGGATATGAAGCAACTGGAACTGTCATTCATTGCTGGTAGGAATGAAAAATGGCACAGCCCTTTGGAAAGCACTTTGGAAGTTTCCTGCAAAGTAAAACATATGGCTCCCTTACAACTTGGCAGTGCTACCTCTAGGTATGTATCAGAGCAATTGAGCGTTTGTGTTCACAAAATAAAAACCTGAACAAAAATTTCAGAGAGACTACATTCCTCAAAAAATTAAAAATATAATTACCATGTGATTCAGCAATTCCACTTCTGGGTATACATCCAAAAGAACTGAAAAGAGGATCTTGAAGAGATAATTACATGCTCATTCACTGACGTATTCGGCCATAAGAAAGCTAGAAGTCTTGTCATACACTATAACACGGATGCACCTTGAGGATATCATGCTAAGTAAAGTCAGCCGAGTCACAAAAAGGCAAATGCTGCATGATTCCACTTGTATGAGGGATTGAAAGTAGTCAAATACTTAGAAACAGAAAGGAGAACGCTAGCTCTAGGAGCTAAAGACAGGGGAAAAAGAGAAGCAATTGTTCAACAGGTATCGAGTTTTCAGTTTTACAAGATGAAGTTCCAGGGACGTGTGGCACGGTGACGCACAGACAGTTCCTAGCACTCACTGTCCTATCAAAACCAGCTCAGATGGCAAACACTGTGTGCCTTTTACCACAATAAAAATATAGCGGTTTTATTCATAATGCTCCAAAAGGTAGAGGACCTGAAGAGACGTTTTTCCAAAGAAAACAGACAAATGTGCTCAACACCACTAATCATCAGGAAAACACCAATCAAAACCACAGTGAGATATCACTTCATACCTGTTAGAACGGTTATTATAAAAAAGACAAGAAATGACAAGTGTTGATAAGGATAGGGAGAAAAGGAATGCTTGTGCACTGTTGGTGGCAGTGTAAATTGGTACAATGACTACAAAAAACGGTGTGGAGGTTCCTCAAAAAATTAAAAATAGAACTACCATATGATCCAGCAGTTCTACTTCTGGGTATGCACCTGCGGAACATACAAACTCCAATTCAAAAAGATGTCTGCACCCCCAAATTCATTGCAGCATTATTTACAATATACTAAGACATGGAAGTAACCAAAGTGGTCATCAGTAGATAAATGGATAAAGAATAAATGGATATCCTAGCCCTGGCTGGCGTAGCTCAGTGGATTGAATGCGGGCTGCGAACCAAAGTGTTGCAGGTTCGATTCCCAGTCATGGTACATGCCTGGGTTGCAGGCCATGACCCCCAGCAGCCACACATTGATGTTTCTCTCTCTCTCTCTCTCTCTCTCTCTCTCTCTCTCCCTCCCTCCTTTCCCTTTCTAAATATAAATAAATAAAATCTTTAAAAAAGAATAAATGGATATCCTTTATGTCGTGTTCCTTTTCTCCTTATCCTTTCCAACACTTGTCTATATATATATAATGTATATATATACACATATATATGTACATATATACACACACACACATACACACACACACACACACAAGTCAGCCCTAAAAAAGAAGGAAATGTTGCCATATGCAAAAACATGGATGGGCCTTGAGGACATTATGCTAAGTAAGGTAAGTCACACAAAGAAAGACAAACACTGTATATACCTCACTTATATGTGGAAGCTGAAAGCTCCCTAAACTTATAGATACAGTGAACAGATTGGTGGTTGCCAGAGGTGGGGCCACATGGGTGAAGAGGGTCAACAGGTACAAAGTTCCAGTTACGAAAGAAGTCATGGAGATCTGATGTACAGCACGGCGACTGTAGTCAGTAATAACATGTTGTACACTTGAAAGTTGCTATGAGGGTAAATCTTAAAAGTTTTGATCAAAAGGAAAAAACTGTATCTATGTGTGGTGATGAATGTTAACTAGACAACTAGACTTATTGTGGTGTTTGTTTTATAATATACACAAATATTGAATACTGAAAGTAATATAATGTTACATGTCAATTTATATCTCAATGAAAAGAATCAGAAAAAAAAGAATAGCCCCAAAATGGAAATGAGTGAAACACCCATCCACAGGTGCATGATAAAGGAATTAAGGTTTGTTTATACATTAGAATAATGCACAATAATAAAAATGAACAAACAGCTGATTGGGTGGATCTCGAAAACATTAGATTTATTGAAATAAAAGCCAGATAAAAAAATAATATGTATTATATTTTCCCCTTTTGATTAAATTCAGGAACTACTAAAACTAATCTACAGTGTTAAAACTAAAAAAAAAAAAAGGTTACTTCTGGAGGGAGTGCCGTCAACTAATAAGATGCACAAGCAACTTTACGGGTGACAAAAATGTTCCTGATCCTATTCTGAGTGGTGTGTGTGTGAGTTGGAACAGATAAAAATATTTTGATCTGTGCATATTATTATATGTAAGGCATATCTCAGTTTAAAAAAATAAAACAAGGTCACCGCTGGAGAGCAGATCACAACACAAAGAGGAACGCTGCCTGAGCTGAGGCGCACAGGGAAGCAGAGGGTCTGACCGGCCAGGCGTACGGGCCCTGTTAAGAATGAGGGTCTTTATGCTACTGCAATGGAAGGGCGTTGAAGGGTTTCAAGCAGAGATATGGCAAGATTTGCTCCCTAGGTTTTTTTTTTTTTGTATCATTTTGAGGAGCTCTCTGATTGCTGTGTAGAAAACAGACTAGAAAGGAGGCAAAGTGGATGTGGGAATTAATACAGAAACTACTGTGAGTTTGGAGGAAAGATGAAGGTACTTTGG